GCAATATTTATGAAGATATGGCTGTGTGTGTGTGTTTTGTTTTTTTGGTATGCAATGAACTTGAAATAAAAATTTGAAATTTTATGCATTTTTTACAAAATCATATTCTTTGTTATGAATGATCAATGGATTTGCATGAGAAATTTGTTTGATTGTGATCGGCAACTACATTTTTGCACATTATTTTATTTTCAATTCACTAACATTCCCTAAATAAAACGTATACCCTAAATAAAAATAAAGTAAATAAAATATTTTTTAAATAAAAATACCAGAGGGGTACTATTTATCATCAAAACTGGGTTTATTCCTATTCAAAGTATTTTCCAGCATGATTTACGTGATTCTCCATTCTTTCAAACCAATTGTCTCATCACTTTTTCTCTTTCCTCTTCGACTGAGACACAACCTAAGTAATTTGTTTTAACGCTTCGGGCGTTGAAAATCGTTGTCTACGAATGCTATTCTTGATGAGTGGGAAGTAAAAGAAGTCATTAATTGCCAAGTCAATGCGATATGGCGTAAGTTTCATCAATTCCTCGTATTAGTCCCTCAAAAAAATCAGTATTTAGAGCCGATACCCGAAAACTTGAAATTTCTTGGTGCACACCATTCGCCATGCGAACTAATTGAAATATACTATTCATATACATTGACTTCCTACATTGCTCAAGGGGATCAGTCTCTAAATGATCAGTTTTGAAATCTGAATTTATATTTTCATTTTCTTGTTTTGCCAATCGACACGAAAACAATATAGTTCACTCTTTCTATCTCATTTTGGTATAAAAATTCTGCTAAAAGCTTTAGAATAACTATAAATAGAAAAAATATGTCAACACATAGACCAATAATGATTTATTTTCTGCAAATGGGGTTTTCACCCTCCAAAAATCCTGAAGGCCAAATTACAGCCACTTAGTTGAAGAATGCGAGTCCGGCCTTTACAAAAATTAAGCAGGACATGTATGTTGGTGCATGGTGCTTTATAAAAAATATCAGCAAAGTTCATCCACTTTGGTGGATATGTCAAAACATGGACTTTGTGAATTTCACGGAACATATCGTATATTTTTTATTCGATCATATCGTATTTTATTTTATTATTCCCAAATTTTCAAAATTATGACACTTTGAGGGAGAAGTACCAGAAGAGGTTGTCGATTTACCCCATTTTCAGACTTTATCTGGGTCTGGTAAAAATATTACGATATGTCAAGTATGGGTGAAATTTGATGATCGCTTTATATGAGATTTAAAAATTTATATATGTTGACACTTTGTGGGGAAGGTAACAGAAGGAGTGAACTGATAAGGTCGGGCAGTATTTGGTTGAAATCAGATACTTCGATTTTTGACCATTTTGTGGGGAAGATGCCAGAAGGTGTAAACCGATATTTTCCTTCTTCGATCTTGATTAGTGTTTGGAAGGAATGTTATGCTTTGCAAAGTTTGGATGAAATCGGTTAGTCCATTTGTGAGTTATCCTGCTAGACAGACGGACGGACATACAGTTGTAAATCGTTTCAATATTGAGGGAATCCAATATTTCGATGAGACACACTTTTACTCTAGGAAATTATATGTACCCCTATTAGCGTTAAGGTTGAGTATATATAAATTATGTACCGTTTTTGGGTGAGGCATTACAAGAATTGGACCGACAGATTCCAATTCTAGGTTTTAAAGATACAAATATTAAAATGTTACAAATTCGGATTAAATCGGTTCAGGAGTCGGTTTAAATCGACTGAAATGATCGACCAAACACTTGAAGTTTGAAATCGAGTTATCGTTTAGTCTAAGGCTTCATAGTTTGTAAGTCAATACTACAGAATTGAAAATTGGCCTAGGGCCTTGAACATACCGAAAATGACGCTTGACCTTTATATGGGTCTATGTTGAAACATAAAAATATTCTGTAAAGAATTTGCTACCCACTAAAACCCACATCGTAGTGATATAATATAATCAACGCAGTAACAAAATTTTCGTAGATCAATCAAAATATTAAATACCAAAATCCAATATATACTGAATAATGAACCAAGAGTCTACTCAGATATTAGGGTTAAAATTTTTAGGCTAATTTTTACCAAATGCCTAAAATACCGACATTTGGGAGGTACGTAATATGTGGGCTGCCCTAAAAAGTGGACTAATATTAAAACTTTTGGTAAGAAGATTTGCAATCAATGATACCAGATGCACCCAAAATATCAGATATAGCCAATTCATTTGAAAACTAAACCAAATCCTTAAAATGTCAAAAATTGTGCGGTACCGTTATTTGGGGGATATATACCCATTAATTTAATATAATAAAAAACTATCTAAAAGTCTTGGGAGTGACATATAAGTTCTGAAAAATTACCTTCTTTGAAAAACTATTTAGATACGAATTGAATGGGCGTGCTTGCGTTGACGAGAATACGGTAGAAAAAAGCTATTTCTGATGGTTTGTGCGGCCTTGAGATGTCAACGTCCGCCGCTAGAAAATACAGTCTTCAAAGCCAAACTTTGAGTTGCATATTAAAACAAAATGAAACATTTAGAGGACCTAAATTGCAACTACCCTTATATCGGTGATAAATATCAGGATATGACTATGGTGGCGAATGTGCCCCATCAAATGCCGAAGCTACCCCGGCATTTGATGGGGCATTCGGCGAATTCGAGTTTTTTTACAAAACTGTAAAAATGTTTAACTAATACTAATTTATTATATGTTTTTGTACTAGTTTTTATAATTAACTATCAGAGGACAATAATCAGTCATAAAGTTTTTAAATATGTTGAATAAGTATTGAGATATAGAGCTCTAAACAAAAGGTGCCGAAGTTGCCCAAGAAAGTACTATTTCGAATGCGTTGGCATTTTTAGAACCGGATGATCCGATGATCGGAAATCATGCACGCCATCGAAGAGAAGGACTTTTCGTCAATTACCAAAAATAACAACAACAAAATTATGTCAATTCATTTTCTTATCCTTTAAGTTTTCATGTTTTTATATACAAAGTTATAAGTCTTCAATGTAATTCCCGTCCATTTGTCATCCGGTTGAAAATTATTGAAATTTGAAATGGAGAATGATGGTGGCCCCTTAAAACAGGTTTTTATAAGGCTACTAAATACTTCCAAAAATTGAAGTTCATCGATACACTCTTGTCACGAAAATCCGCATCAAAATAGTGAAAAATTATCGCACAAATATTTCTACCAATAAATTCCAATTTGTTTGCAAATGAATTAGGCACATTACTGTAAAGAACACAACACATGGTTGTACGTCGAAAATTATGAATATCTAAATATCTATGGTTTTTTGAGTAAGGATTGTTTAAAAATGGAAAAGTTGGATTAAATCATACTAATATCGATTTCTTGTCTATAAGGACCATATCAAAACATTTGTAAGTGACATTTTTTAAGAATATTTGGAGATTAAAAAATCTCATATTGTTGTATGTCGTTTGCGGCATAAGAAACTAATTTCGTCTGATTCTCTATTAATAATCCATTAAAGATACTGTCCGATCGACAGGATATTGCACACATACAACCAAAACCATTAGTTGCAAAACGTTCAACGTTTTTGCAATTTCCTTTACACTTAAAAAATGGATTTCAAACTGACTAATTCGACCTCCGGGATCTCAATAAATAGTATTTTTATATCAGTCCAATATTTGCTTTATCCACGACTAGTTTTCAGCTATTAGAAATCTTCTCACAAATAATATTAAATAAATTCCGTTTAAATATTCTCTTGTTGAACATTGTTAAACATTACCCGATCCCTATAGCCGATTTTTTCATAAATATACTCTACAAAAATGTAGTTGCTTTCATAGATGAAATATGAGCAAAAAATCTCAACTACTTGAAGATAGAAACTACATCATCAACTACTGGACGCAATTTGGGGTTCACATTAAAAAATAGACTTCAAAAAAAACAAGAAAGAAAGAAAAAAGCAACAATTTGTTGTTTAACACACATACGTATATCTCCATTATAGCCGAATATTGCTCACGTACATATCTACTTACGGGATTGGCGTATACTTTTTGAGCATCAAATGTGTAAATGGCGAACATGGCCACATTGCAGATCAACAAGAAGGTGACAATTTGACGACCCGGTTTGCTGCGATCATGTTCGGGTAAATGGACACGACGACGAGAAACATCGGCAATGAACAGCAGCTGTAAAATGACTTGAAGGACAGCAACAGCACTGGTGGTGGTAACCAAAAGGCTGGGTTCATGTTCCAAAACTTTAAGACTGCCCGAGATGACGGAGAATACGGAATAGGTGAATAGACCGAAAGCAGAGATACGCAAAAGGATGTCATTCAAGTTGGATTGTTCCTCACAACGGAATTTCAGATTTTTAACTCTGTAAAGAAATATAAAATGTTAATATCGATTTGCGTATGTGTGTTAATGTGTTTACCTTATAAATCCAATAATTATGGCCAAAATGGCAAATACCATTAATATACAATGACTGGCATCGGCCAAATAAATGGCCAGCAACGAGAACTGCTGATGACGCACCAAGACGAAGAAGAGTATCAAACATATCAAAGCACCCACCAACAACAATAGACCAAAGAATAAACCTTTCGAGGAGCCGACACAGTCCACACGACCGGAACGTGCCTGTTGAGCCATGGCCACAGCCCGTCGTGATAGCATCACTTCCAGGCGATGTTCCAAATCATCGTCGTTCATGCGTCCGGGATAGCGGCCAATGTGTTTCCACATGACATAGAGGACAACGGCACCAATCAGGGAATACTCAATGATGAAGGGATACAAATAGGGAGCCGAATCGTATACAATGGTACCCATGATATCGACACGACCGCAGGCGGTGGAATTCAGGGTGCCCACATTGGAGGACAGGGCTGCCGGGTAGATGTTGTCTAGGTTTTCGAAATTCTCAAAGGCCACAATGCTGGCTGCCTCAGGATGGGAAATACCGGAGAAGGTTTGGTAACTATTTTCCATGAGATTGTTAATGAATCCCAATGAACTTTCGGTGGTCTTGTCGGCCAAGGATGATGCAGTGGTGGTGGTGGTAGTGGAGATGGGAATGTTTGTGGTGGTGGTTGAGGTGATGGGTGATGATGGGGTGCTTGACATGAGAGATGAGAAAAATGATGCTACACTGGAGGCTACACTAGAGGTATCAAACGCAGAGGCGGTGGTCTCAGCCGCGGCTGTGGTGGTGGTTGGGGAGGAGGCCAAATGTTCTACTGCAGCAGCTAATGGAGAACCGGTGGAGGAGTACAAATTCTGCTGGTAACTGTTAAAGGGTAATTCTGTGGTCGTTGTTGTCGCCAATGGTGAGGTGGCTGGCAACGCGGTGGTTGTTGTGGTCGTAGATGTTGAAGTTGTTGTCGTCGTGCTGGGTGTTGAAGACGATGTGCCCATGGTTGCCGCCGCCGTGGTACTAGTGATAAACTTCTTCAACTTGCGTGCCACAGTAGTGCTTTGCCATTGATAGGGTGTGGTAAATGCCGGTCTCATTGTTGTAGTTGTGGTGGTGGTAGTGGTACTTGTCGTGGGGTCGGCCACCTCATTTGAGCCCATACCCAATGTTTTGGAAATACCATCCACAGTTTTGGCCAACATTTTCGACAGGACACCATTGGTGGTGTATGCATCCTTAGGCAAAAGATCTTCACCATCCAAGACTTCGAATTCTTCATTGGGTCCATAATGGGTGCGCAACACAGTGCCGGCATGACGCAGGGCATGTTGGCGAATCGATTGGCCAATTGAAGATTCATTGGGATCGGGATCACGACGTTGATGATAGAGAGTGATTTCAAGCAAAGACTCCTTGACCAGGGTACGTATCCAGACACAGATATTGGTGGCTACCACATGCATTAGACCAAAACGGGCAATAACCTTGAAACGGTGGATATTTAACTGTAACCATTTCGAAAGTGAGAGAGGGAGAGAGAGTGAGAAATTAATATTGGATACAACAACTTCTCTGTTTTAACATGGACAATTTATTCTTTAATTTATTGTTCACAAATTTAGGAGTTATTTGCCCCCGAAAAAATAAAGCCATTAGGATGTTCCACATAACCGGAACATACACACACCTAATTTTTTATTTTAATTTAAGAAAATTAATAGCCTTGAACATAAAAAGTTAAAAGCAAAGCCTTTAATAAACGAACCAAAAAATGTGATGATTTCAGAGCAAAAATCAAAATCATACCTGGTATGGTGGCCTAGTCTGCGCGGTGATACATACAGATGGTTTAACGAATGACACAAAAGTAGGGGGAAAGGGAGAAGGGTTGCATGAGTTAAATTAGCAGCATAGCAAAAATAAATTTTGTTTTCAATTTTTCTTTTGGATATTTGTTTTCTCGTAGTGTTTGTGTGGATCGAGTGGAAATGTTTGAAGAGTGTGTGTGTCGATAAAACCCAGCGAACATTTTATGGAAATTGAGTGAGTTGTCTTATAATAATTCTATCAATAAATCGAAGATTTTCTTTAGTATTTCTACCCAATACCGTATTAATTTTAAATTTTTTTGGACTTTATCATAAATGTTCACTGGGTTACCAACAAGCTTGCATGATTTCCATGAAATTTTTCACATGAATGAACGATTATGAATTTATGTATTATTTGTGTGTGTGTGTATGTTTTACAATTGTATGCCAATTGATTGTTGTATTTGGAATGAAGGGAAAGAGAAAAATATGAAGTGACGATGATGATACTGATAATGATTTGCTAAGCATAAGTGAACATGATTTGCGAATTGTTTTCAGTTATTACTGGGATTTTAAAAAGAGAATGCATTTAACGAGAAACAATACTGCTCGTCCCTTTAAAACACTGAGTATTATTACTATTATATGAGACGTTTATTTGACAATGGTCTTAGTCCAAGCCTAAGTCTGATAAAAATATTGTTTTAAAATATTATTTTTGAAAAAATATAATACAATATATATATATATATTAAAATAAGAAAAAAAATTATATAAAAATAAAATAAAATTGTCAATGGCCATTATCAACCTATAGTTACATTAGAAGAGTGTGCGAAGAACCGGCCGCACCTATTAAACCCGTTCCAAATTATGATATAGTTTCCATATATATTTTCGACTGATTTAATGTAAACGGTCCAGCAATTACTGACCTAATTCAGTACTACATGCAAAATTTCGTGCAAATCGAAAGATATATAGGGACTTTAGTGCACCATTTACATGAAATCGAACGAAGCTATAAATGGGAGCTATATCTAAATCTGACCCGATTTTCTTCAGTTTCATTAGGGTTCGTCGTTGAGCCAAAGAAGTGAGCTATGCCAAATTTCATCCAAATCGGATCATAAATGCGACCTGTACCTTGTTTACAATTTAACATCTACAAACGGACCGACGGACAGACAAACATGTATAAATCGACTCAGAAAGTGATTATAGGCATATTCTCAAAAGGAACCATGTGTCTATCTCGTTTCCTTTTGACTGTTACAAACATATGCACAAATACATAATACCCTGTACCACAGTATGGTGAAGAGTATACAAATTCACGCAGTTGGTAGTCCTAAAAAAAATATTTGTACAAAATTCACGCAGTTGGTTGTCGTAAAAAATATTTTTACGAAATTCTCGTTACAGATAGTCTTTTAAAAAATTAAAAAAAATCGCGGTTTTGATATTCCTCAAAAAAATCTACGATTCTTCCATTCCTTCAAAATAATATTTTTAATTATCTACGCTTCTTATAGTCCTCCAAAAAGATATTTTAAATTATCTACGCTTCATATAGACCTCCAAAAAGATATTTTTAAAAAATCTACGCCTCTTCTTCTTATAATCATTTAAAAATAAGAGTTTTAAACGATATAATCGGAAGGGCCGACCCTATGTTAACACTAAGCTTTAAGTTCTTATGGATCTATATTTCGCGATATTTGCAATCTCTTGACCAATAATTAGGTGTCTACAGCTCCTCTGCGGCATCATTTGACCCAATTGATTTAGTCCATTTCATCCCCTAAATATTATCCGGGTCATCATTAGCCAGAACCGAATCTACATGCAAAATTTCGTGGCGATTGCTCCATAACTACAGGTTACACATTATAATGGGAAGACGGACGTACAGGCATGACGATCGGTATACCAAAAGGTGGGTCTAGGACCATATCTATATTCAATTTATTTCAAACTTTCCACATCGCGATGTAAGTTTTTCCTCATTCCACAGTGCGATGTAAGTTACGATATATGATGAATTCCTGAATATGCTGGATTTACCAGCACTTCTCAAATAAACTTAACAAAAGTTGAAACATGTTGAGGTTCAAGTGTATCGACATGGCCTTGTTCGAATACAGACGTTTTCTTGTAAACCAGCAGACCATTCAACAAACTAGCATTACGGACAGCTCACTTCTAATGGCAGGTTATAGGTTTGTTTTCATGGGTCTTCGAAGACGAGCTCAATTCGACAAAAAATGTTTGTTAAAGCAGCACTTTGAAGCAAATGGTTACCAGTTTCTTTGCCAAACATGTTCCGCATGAGGACCGAGTATGGCTAAGTCTGAGTGGTATACCATCATTTCTTTACCAAGAGTTTTTGGAAAAATTCTAAAAACGAACATCATAGGGCAAATCATTCTGTACCGTGACAATATGAGCGCATACACATAATTTTAAACAAGACTTGGAATTCAATGATTTTCCTATATCCACATCCACAAAAAATAATCGTGGACAACGATTTTCACGATTTGTTTCTCCATTAAATTCATCACCTAAACTTGGAAGAAGTCAGTATTGCTTTCGTTAAATGCATTCTTTCTAAAATACCCCATTTGCATTTATGTTTTAAATTTCTACACCCATATGGCTTTAAAAATCATTTAGAAACTAATATATTTTTTTTAAATATAAAATAATTAAAAATATTATATTTTTTATACAATACAACAAATAAAACTTACTCTGGCATTCATAAAGATGAAATACATTTGCATAAAGGTAAAGATCATCTGCAACAGTGGATTGACGCCAATCAAAATGTGATGGCAGGGTGAATCGAAGGGTATTTCAAAGAACGAGCCAAATTCCAAGCCAATATAAATCATGGCACCCAAACCAAAAGCTGTTGGGAAAAAACGAAATCAATTATTATTAGACAAATTTATTTAAAAACTTATTGTATAAGTAATTATTAATTAATTTAGGAATTTGATTTCAAATTAAATATTTAATATATTCCCCAAATATTTATTTTATATTTGACAGAGTCGTTATTGAGTATTTCAGAAAATTTATTTTTTATTACATTTGACATTGACAGGGACCATTTTTTTTAAATCTTATGTTCAATATTGATTTTCCACTTACCAATAGCCCCGACACGTAAAAAGAAACTGCCATGTGTCAAATCACTGTGGGTTGTTTTACGTTTGCGTGAATTTTTTGGTGTTACTGCAACTTCAGCATCAGCTTGAGAGTCCTTTTGGAGGGGGGAATGGGTAATAAAATTAGAAATTGTAAAATAAATTATTATTATTAAAATTCTTCGCATTTTCAAATATTATACGGTATTTTTGGATATAGGATTTACTGAGTTCTAGTGACTTGGATTTTGGATTAGATGACTGTTTTTCGATTTGTGTTATTGTTAGAGTATAAGGAGTATAAATACATGCAATGTTATTTACCAATACCTTGGCGAATTGTTTTGTAATTTGTTTGTGTGTGTGTAAATTATGAAATGCTGTAAACAAATTTAAATGTTGTGAATTATATGGCGTCAGATGTGGTCACCTGCAATACCACAGTTTTTCTTCTGGTGGTTCTTGAAAAAATATTCTTTAGAAATCAAGGCTTTTAATATAACTCTAGTTACAATAAAGCTATGCTTCTGGTAGTCCTTTAAACTATATTATTAAACCAGTAAGTAAAGTAGTAAAGTCGGACGGGGCCGACTATATGATACCTTTCACCACTTTGGGTATATTCAACAAATGGAATCCTAACAGACGTCGCATTTTTGAAGGACCATTAACATGAAATTAAACATGTCATTCTGCAACCTATACTAAATTTTGGTCAGATATAGAGTTGCTTCTCACAATGGGACAAAATTATGTAAATAAATTTAAAGCAAAATATTGAAATCTAAACCGATTTCATCGAAACTTGTCACATGGTCGGTTACACTTATTTTAGTATGTTTGTGCATTCGGCCACATTTTGAGTTCTCCCTTTATTTGTAAATCCAAATTTCGTGCAAATCGAAGGATATTTAGGGACTTTGGTGCACTATTAATATTAAAACGGACGAAACTATATATGGGAGCTATATCTAAATCTGGACTGATTTTCATGAAACTTGGCAGACATCGCTCTGGGCCGATTTTCATGAAATTTAACACACATCATTCTAGACTTTGTTCAGTACGCTATTCCAAATTTCGTGCAAATCGGAACATATATAGGGATTTAATGTAAATGGTATACCAACCCATTTACATTAAATCGGACGAAACTATATATGGGAGCTACATCTGAATCTGAACCGATGTTCACGAAACTTAACACACATCATTCTAGACCTAATTCATTACACTGAGCCAAATTTCGTACAAATCGAAAGATATATAGGGACTTTGGTATACCATTTACTTTAAATCGGACGAAAATATATATGGGAGCTATATCTAAATCTGAACCGATTTTCAGGAAACTTAACACACATTATTCTAGACGTAATTCAGAACATCATGCAAAACTTCGTGCAAATCGAAAGATATGTAGGGACTTTGGTGCACAATTTACCTTAAATCGGGCGAAACTATATATGGGAGCTATATCTAAATCTGAACCGATTTTCAGGAAACTTAAGACACATCATTCTAGACCCAAATCATTAGTCTGTGCCAAATGTCGTGCAAATCGAAAGATATATAAGGACCGATTACATCAAATCGGGCGAAAATATATATGGGAGCTTTATCTAAATCTGAACCGATTTTTCCCAATTTCAATAGGGTTTGGATCATAATTGCGACCTGTACTTGTAACATGGACACCCAGACGGACAAACGGATGTACATGCATAAATCGACTTAAAAAGTGATTCTATGCATACTCACAAAAGGAACCATGTGTCTATATCGTTTCCTTTTGCCTGTTACAAACATATGGACTAAGATATAATACCCTGTACCACAGTGTGGTGAAGGGTATAAAAAGATATGCTTCTGATAGTCCTCTGAGGAAGATTTGTAATAAACTATGCATATGAAAGTTCTCTAAGATATATTGTTAACCAAAATATTTTAAAAAATCTGCACTACGCGTAATAAAAAATACGCTTCAGTAGGTCTCTGAAAAAATATTCTTTAAAAGCAAATGCGCTTTAGAAAGTCTTTAAAACTATTCTTGAAAACAAAGATATTCCGATGTCCTCGGAAAAATGAAAAATTATTGTTTAAAAAATACCCGACTCTATTGTCTCTGAAAAAATATTCTTAAAAACACGGTTCTATGGTTCTTGAATTTTTTTTTTAAACACCACTTGTTATGGTCCATGAAAAAATATTCTTAAAAAAAAACACACCATGATCTCTAAAAATATTTTTTTTTTAAAAAAATCCACCTTGTAAAAATAAATTTGAAAAAAACTTTTTAAAAAATCCACTCTTGTGAGAATTCATGCGTGTAAACGTCCTTGAATGAAATATATAATCCGTGCTTGTAATGCTGGTTGAAAAAATCAACCCCATGTTATGGTCCCCGAAAAATCTTCTGTTGATGTTTCGATACCCTCCAACTCAAGTTCCATCAGAAAGAAATTAGCTTGTCTTTGAAAAATTGCCTCAGAATCTCTATTGTATTCATTATAATACAAATTATTGATTTCATATTTTCTTTTCTTTCAGAGTCATCCTGAAACTCAAAACCCATTTTAAAAATCAAAAAGGTAAGTAAACAAATATATTTTTCACCTGTTAAGAAAAAAAATCAATTAATATTTCTATAGGCATATTTTTAAGCAGTCTTTGAATATATATGCAGACTGTTAAACTAGCACTGTCTAAATAATTTATTTAAATAAACAATTTGAAAACATTTAAGCTTGGTCAAGCCTAGGGTAATGTCATCAAGCAATCAAATGTGTGGACACATCAAAATTACTAGGAAATTTTGTTTTGTTTTAATTTTTTTGTTTTTGTGTAAAGCTTGAAAGCTTACCCGACCAAGAAATTTTGGTATCCACACATAGTGGACAACACCTAAGAATAGAAAAACTAGCATCGTAACTGTCCAATGGAAAACCAGAATAAAATGTAACAGAAGAGCCGTCAATACGACAATGTAGACGAAGAGGGCCAAGACTTTGCAACAAGTGTTAACCTGATGGGGGAAGACAAAAAGAAATATATATGTTTTTAATAAATATTATTTATTTACAAATACGATTGACCCCCACATCCATAAATGGCCTAAATGTCAACCATCAATAATAATATTTTTTATTTTTATTTTTCTTGTTAACAGAAGAAGCTTAGCAGTTTATTTGTCTTATTTCTTATTTTGACATTTAAGAGCTATAACATCAATTTATGACTTTTAACACATTTGTCACAACTCAACTTACGATATAACCTACTTTTGACACAATTACGAATATATACATTTTTTGTTTATTAGTTTTTGAGCCTGATACTGCTGCTTACGCCGTTGTTGCTACTAGTAGGCCATGTTAAGTGTATTGTGATAATTGATTGATGCTGAACAACATAAAGTGTTTGGCGATCGTTGAATGGATGCAGTGTCAGTGTGTGTGTTCGTGTATCGTCTGACTGAGTGAGTGCAAAAATTGTTTGTCCATCTGTCATAATGTAATGCCGTCATTGGTGTGCAACCATAATTGGTTTTTGAGCACACAGCGGTTATGTTGATGTTTTGTTCGTTCTTAATTTGGTTATCGTACAGTGGACCAAAGCGAATTAATTTTTAAATTAATTAATTGATGTCACATTAGTTTCATGGATTTAATGGTTATTTGGGCCTTAAATGTAAGTTTAAGAGACGAAACTATTACAATTGATTATACAAAATTTATAAACAAAACCAGATAGTTATACCTGACGAATTGTCAATTTCACTAAATTCAAAATTTCATTTACCATGTCTTCAATTGAAATAGATTTTTGTAATTACAAACAAATATATAATTTCCTCTTAGGAGAAAGTTTAATTTGATATATGGACAACCAATATTTTTTGTTTCTTATAATAAGAAAATTCGGAAATAATACGAAATAAAATGCCTACTAGGTATATCAATAGATATTTCTCAGGTTATTCAAACTTTTATCTATTAAATCTGTTTATAAACCGAAATTATATAAACACATTTTCAATACATATCTTTTAAATGGAATAACCGTATAACTACCCATATTTATATTGTCGAACACCACCAAGTGAATGTTTATTAGTTGGAATAAATAAGGCATAGAGTTAGTAAAAGAGTATTCTTATTATTTAAATTATATATACGACATTTATATAAGACTCTACCCAGATAAATATCGTAATAAGTAGATCTGAAAACTTGATTAATAGGAATTGGACTAAGGATTAACAAGGGCTGTGGATTCGCCAGCCCTGGAGTTGCTGGAGTTGGAAAAAATAAAAGATAAAACCAGTAAGGAAAGTAGTAAAGTCGGACGGGGCCAACTATATGATACCTTTTACCACTTTGGCTATATTCAAGAAATGCATCCTAACAGACCTCACATTTTTGAGGGACCATTGATATGAAAGTGGAATACTTTACATATATGATCTGTGTCTATATGTGAATCGAGCGCTGTTGAAGATATAATCTCCAGTTCATCCACAATCATCAGTTCATTATTTAGTGCACCATTTAATTCTTTGGTGTACAATTTGCTATAAATCGAACGAACATATATATGGGACCTATATCTAAATCTGAACCTATTTCAATAAAACTTGCAACACTTTAGTCTATCATAACTTCAGTTCGTTGTGCAAAATGTCGTGCCAATCGGACTAAATTTGACTCTTTGGTGCACCATTTGTTAAAAATCGTAAGAGCTGTGCCAAATTTCATCCAATTCGGATAATAAATGCGACCTGCACTTTGTTTACAATTTAACATGGGCAGACAGACGGAAGGACAGACGGACGGACATGCATAAATCGACTCAGAAAGTGATTCTATGCATATTCTCAAAAGGAACCATGGGTCTATCTCGTTTCCTTTTGACTGTTACATACCCCGTACCACAGTGTGGTAAAGGGTACAAATAGCCAGTAAGGAAAGGACGAAAGTCGGGTGAGTGTATAAAACGTCGATAATTTTGTCTGGTATAAACCTTAAATGCCTTTTATCATGAGAATGACATTTAAAATATCTAAAATCGATCGGAACTTTGATATGTTGGCTATGCCATGAATACCATACTTTAGACATTCAGGTTGTAAATTTGGACTAGGACCTTGAATAAACCGAAAATGACGGGTGACCTTTTTATGAGGCAATGTAGAAATATGGACTTATAATGTTTTGGTATAAATGCGCTTTCCCCATTAAGGTTCCGGAATGCCAATACGTAATGCTAAAATAGAGCCAATACGCTTGGAAAATGTGCCTTGGACTCATAAAAAATTGGCTGGACTATTATATGGAATATACGTAAAGATAAAGGTATATTTATGATTTTTGTAGGAAGATTTTCCAATCAATGAGAGCTCAAGATATAAAATAAGAGCCAGCACGGCAGAAAAACATGTTTCAAATTCTCAAAATAACGGAAAGAGCCTATACCAAAATGTGGAATATTGAGGGCATATACTAAAACGTGGATGAATATTGATCAATTTTGTAGGAATGTATTTCTCCCAATAACAACCCAAAATAAAGTGGGCAAACCCCCAATATCCCAAGTTATGTGGCGTACCGTCATATGTGAGCTATCCCGAAACATGGATCAATATTGATCATTTTTGATAGGGAAATTTTCTGCATAACATTAAAAAATACAGAAAATTGGAGGGTACTGCTATATGAGGGCTACTCTGAAAAGATGAACAATATTTATAATTTTTTGTAGGGTGAATTGTTTCTTGGACCTTCAATGACAAATTATTGGAAGAAAATCTCTTAAACTCTAAATTCCGATTGAAAAATGGGTTTAGGATCTCCACATCTGGCGGTACTGTTAAATACCAGGGCTTCTATATAACACGGTTTTTTATTTATCGAAGTATTCTCCACCACGATTTATACACCAAAACAATTGCCGAAGCACTTTGTCCACAACTTTTAAACCAATTATCCAAGCTTTTGTAAACCCTCTACCTTATGGCTAATGAGGGTATATAGACTTTGATATGGCAAAAATGTGCCTAATCGAAATATTGGTTTAGACCCCATGTTTCTTTGGACCAAATCCGTTTCAGACAGTTTTGAATCGATTTACAAATGTCCGTCCGCTCCAAGGGAGTAACTGATTTCATTCAAATTTTGCACATCGAAATATTTCTTCCGAACATAGTTTAAGTTCGAAGAAGGTGAATATCGGTCCACTCTTTCTGATGCCTCGCCCAAAAAGGATCAAAATGTTTATATATATACATAAGGAAAATGGAATATCCGATTTTTGTTTTGCAAAACATATTATCTTTACTAAGCCTAGATCAAGTCCGAAGTTAGGGCCCGTCGGTCGTCTCCTTCCGTTAGCTCCTGCACAAATGGCAAATATTTCATAAGCTTGTAAATTTTATTTAAAGTGAATAGAATAACCGATTTGATGAACATTAAATTCGAAACCTGTTTGATAAAAACATATATGTACCTAATATAACGCGAATAATAAAACCTGTGTGTAATTCCGAAGATCTCCTTAATGCATAGGCGGAGGGTATATATCTGTCGGCTACACAGGCTGACACTTTTTTAGTTGTTACCAATCCGTTTGATTCTCCTTCAAAACATTGTTCTTATAGGCTTCAACTAAATATCTGACATACATATATTTTTTAGGTGCGGGGACAAAAATAATTGTGACTTGAGATGACTATTTCACACCACGATTTACATTATTAGTTCACATACAGCATCAATGTTCCTTAGAAAGACGGCCGTTTTGGACGACTTTCGTCTTTTAGCGAGCATTTGCCACGATTAAATTATGACTTTTCCTCTAGATTCTGTCATAAAATAATTTATGCTCATCGATACACTTTTGTAGGTGGATTGTATATTATGTTTGTAGTCCCATCGAAGCATTTTTCTGAAACCCCTATAACTTCGGATCAGAATTATATTTTTTCCATAGTTCAAGATTATGTACGACTAATGTCAAATAAAAAATTTCAAAAATTAAAATTGTTGTTCAAGTTATGCGCTTTTCAATATAAAGAATATGGCAAAAACTCAAATTGTTCGAATTGTGTCATCAGAATTATTTTTCATTCTTGCAAAAAAGAAAACCCACGCCTTATATAGGACTCTCGAAAAATATTTTTTATTATTTATTAAATCTGTGCACAGAAAATCGTTATATTGTGCCGAAAAAATCGGAGCTATAAGGATAACATAGAGCTATAAAACACAGACATTGCTACTACATCTAGGAATTCTTTGTATTAGAAATGGGTAGAGATGGGCAGTGGTTAAATACCCAAAGAGCAAAAACCCGGTAAATTGGGTATATACCCATTTGTGGGTATTTACTACATTGAATCGGTAATACAACATCTTGCACCCTATTTCCGGGTTTCTGTTATCAATTCGATTTAGAATGGATAGTTTTACGATACTTTGAATAAGTGGGTAAATACATGGGTAAATAACCGAGTATTTACCCAAAAATTGAGTATAAGCTCATTAACTGCCGAATCACTTGACTTAGGCGGCAAAAATTTTGCTTAAACGCAAATATTCAAATGGAAAATAGAGTCCCGGGTCCAAGTTTTGATATAGGCCCCACAAAAGCGTACCCCTTGGATATTTACCAGGTAATTATCATCTCTAGAAATGAGATATAAATGTCCTTGTCTTGCAGAAACATTTTAATATAGGTCTATTTCTTTAAAAATCACCATATCCTTGTGCATTCGATGTGTTTAGTAGTATTTTTTTCGTGTGAGTTGAAAACCCAATTTCAATACGGGTACACTGCTTAATGAGGGAGAATCCACTATGTACCATTTCAGTGCAACAAACTGTGTTAAACAAAAAGTCACCATTAAAGTGACTTGTGTTGAAGGATATACATTACTTTTTCTAATTATTACTATCGCTGCGGAATCTCCTGATTTATATAATACACATATAACCAACATATTTTATAATATAAGTTTACACCAAATTTCCGATCATTATTCTCTGAAATTCCCAATTAAATCAAGTTTTCAGATAACTTATAACAATTATTTATACCACACCAAATACACATACATATTAATATCAAATCTACAAATTAATTAATTACAAAGTATATATTTTTCGTCAGTGGATTAGTAATTTGTTAGAGGCGGACATACACACATATATGTATATCTATATTAATATGTGTATAGCAAAATATATATGTAGAAAAAAAATTAATGTTTACCTGTTGTGCTAATAAAGTTTGTCTGACTAAATCACGTTTCTTTACAGGATAACGTTCCTGATTATGTGTGAGTGCATAGCATATAGGTGTGTGTATGTACATGTGTTGTGTGGTCACAAAAGTTTTTTGTTAGCATATTAAAACAATTTTGCATAGATTTTAAAGCATTTTTATTAGTTATTTTTAAAGACCATAACAAAATGTCAAAGTTATTTTTATGACCACACCACACCATATGCAACAAAAACACATAGATGCACCACACACACAGAGAAAGAAACATGACAAAGGACAGCAAACAGGATTTTAACAAAGTTTCAAGGAGTAGTAGAAGAGTAGGGTTACAACAATAACGATAGTACAACAACGACATTCAGTTGAGATTTTTTTTTTGTTGGTTGGTTGGTTCGGATGGATGGATGTTTGGTTGGTTGATTGGTTTTGGTCGTTCGTTTCGTCATTCGGTTTGGAGAGTTGTGTTGTTGTATTTTTAATGTTGATTTGGGTGTGTGTGTTTGATTGTTTGTTTGTGGTTGATAGGTTGTATTTACGGGATGATTAAGGAGTATTTACGGGATGATGCGAATAGAAACAAAGCGACAACATCATTTATTAGCCGATGTTGAATTGAAAGTAAAAACAAAAAACAACAACAATAGTATTAATTAAAAAAAAAACGAAACAAATCATTATTAATATACATTATCAACAACAGTTTGAGTATGAAAAAACAAGGATTCCAATTAGAAAGTAAATGTATGAATAGGAAAAAAGTTTTCCTTCTTTAATTAGAATTTTTACAAATTAACAAACAAAATGAAAGACAAGTTATGTTTAATCAACTGTTTCGAAGAATCGATTTTTGGAATGATGATCGATTGATTGCTTGATTAAAAATTGTACTAACCTGATAAGGACTAGCTTTACTCTTGCCGGAATCCTTGGCACCTTTCGCATCTTTCGAATCGGCTGGATCCTTTTCCTTGCTCTTTTTAGATTTCTTTTCTTTTTTAGGAGATTTCGGTTGATTGTTGCCGCCATTGCAACAGGAACTTTCTGCAAAAAAAAAGAAAATAGGATTTAAAATGTTTGGAAATTAGCCTAGGTAGGATTTGTACAAAAATTGTGGAGAATTTTGAAAAATTCACAAAAAAGTCGTAATCAATCCCTTAATTGAACATGATCGGATAATTTGAAACTTTAGTTAAATAGAATTGTTATAATTTAGTTTTTGACCCCAGATTTTGTAATATATCGATCTAACTTTTATTATACCGTTCGTCATATCTCGAATAGCTGTATCGATGAACCCAATATCACAAGATATACGTTTAAGTTCGGTTATCGATTAAGGGCGTTAGATTTATTTTTATATTTTTCCTACTAAATCTTCAGGTCACAATTTTGTTCTCGAGTTTAAAACATCTTGCAGAGAAATTGGATCTGGCTAGGATAATAATCGGTCAAGATATCTGTGGTATGATGACCTTAATTTTTACCTCAGAACATGATACGCAGAAGTTGCCAAAGTTTTTAAAAGTTGTCATATTTCATCATACCGTCAAATAGATGTACAGGATTCTCTTTATCCTTTGCCACACAGGCAATTAAAGTCTTCGGAAATCTATGTTGAATATTATGGATTAGTTCGTATAGTTTCCGACAACAATAATCCTTAAAATTGTTTTGGTCTGTATTATTGTATTAGAATTCCTTCGTCAGAATCCCTATATAGCTTAGACTATTATAATAGATGACCGGACGATAACTGTGGCCAATAATGTGTTTACTAATTATAATGGAAAGACGGAAATTTGGTATAGCCCACTGAATTAGGTCTGGAATGATGTGTGCTAAGTTTCGTGAAAATCGGTTCAGATTTAGATATAGTTTACATATATACTTTCGCCCGATTTTAGGTAAATGGTGCACCAAGGTCCCTGCAAATGTTTTGATTGGCAAGAATTTTGGCATAGCGTACTAAATTAAGTCTAGAATGATGTGATGGTTTAAAGTAAATTGTGCACTAAAGATCCATAGCTAGGCCGATTGACACAACGTACTGAAGTTAATATAAATTAATCTCTGGCAGGTTTGCTTGAAATCTTTAAACAGTACAGCGACGTCTTTTCGAATACATATGTAGAATATACCCTAAGTAGTGAAGGGTATCATATAGTCGGCCCAGCCCGACTTTACTTCTTTCCTTACTGGTTTTTTGTAGGAAGATTTGCAACACCCGAAAAACAAAATTTCAGTCAATTCGAGTGAAATATATATGGATTGGGTCTATACCTACATTGGGTCTATACCTATACATATAGTTCTCGTTTTCAAACATTTTAGGAGTAGAGCCAACGTATTCAAAGCTCAATCTTAAATACTGTGAGCTCTATTGTGGTTTCCATAGCTGGTCCGAGGGTCATGGCTATATCGAAATATAATTTTATTCTGATCAGGAGGTCTCCAGTAAACATTTCGAGGTTTTGCAAACGTTATTCAAATTTTAACATAACATAACGTTATGGTGGAGGCTATAAGAATTGTTTGTCCCCTAAAAAATAAAATATTCACAAAACTTTTCGGACAAGCCTCGAGTAACACATTTCACGTTTAACAAAACTTATTTCAAATTCTCAATTAAAAAAAATAAAATTTTCCAAAAAATATTCATTATCTTTGTACTTACCCTGTAACAGAAAACAGAAGACATAGAGTAGGAAGAGTATGCTGACACCATACAAATACGTAAAGAAGCTTTCATAGTATAGCACGGGTAGACGATGTGTTGTCACATCGCTTATAACGTAAGCGATGCAAACGACAATCAATATGATGGCATAAACCAAGCTGGTAACAATGAACAGCGATGTCCTATAAATGATAAACGGAGACGAAAAAAATAGAAGAAAACAAAAATGAAATACATCAGACAAATAAATTCAATCACAGCAAACATGGTAAAAATATCTATGTATGTATTGATGTTTTATATCAAAAGGAAAAAAATATTAAATTGAAAAAGAAATATAATCTGTCTGTCTGCCAAGGCACATATGTTTATGGCAACATGACAGCAATAATATTTGATGTTCACTGAATCTGTGATTTGGAATTCAGTGGAGGTACACATGCAATAACTCCATTTTTTGCGGCTTTAATGTATGTAAAAATTTTTCAAGAGATTAAGTGAACATCAGAGTGTAATATTAAATAATATTGTTTCATTGTAAGTGTAAAATAGAAAAACGTTCAAAATTTTTAAAATTCAGCATATATTTTAAAACAACAGCTAAATTAAATAATGTGCAAAGTGCATTGCCAAGTTAAAAGCGTAATAATAATAAAAATGTTCAGCGTGTTACACATGCTAATTGTTTCAGATTTTAATTCTTCTTTTCACGTACATACATTTTATTTTTGATTTTTTTTCGATTTTTATGTTATTATTATGAAATTGTTTCCATTTCTGTGGCCGAATTAACAACACAATTTTCCAGACATTTTTAAACCGAAACCCAACCTCTTGTAATTTGACACTCAGACGAGTGCAAGAAAACTAATTTCCACACATAGTCTGGGAAAACGAAAACGTGAATTTAGATTTATTGGTTTTTAGTTGTTGTTGTCTTTTGCATTGATTTTTTATGTAGCCAAATTCATTTAGCGCCTCCGCAACAACATAACACTAGACGACATAATTTTGTAAAATTCTAAAATCTCAAAAAAAGACTATTGTCTGAGACTTTATACAAATAGACTTGATAAGGGTGTTATGTAAATTTGGAGCTTTCTGATCGGAGTTGGACATTCAAAATATCTAAAATCGATCGGAACCAATCTATATTGGTTTAGGTCCAATTAGAATCCATAGTAATAAATATGAGATACCTTAAAAATGTATAATATTGTTAAATCTTGTTAGGAAGTTGGACTACACAATGAGAACATAAACAAGATTACAGTCATTTCTTTTAAAAAGCGTGCTCAAAATTCCGAATATTTAGGGGTATCGTTATATGGGAGTTATGCCTATACATGGACGATATATCCCATTTCCAATATTATACATCCTAGTAGTAGTAACAATATGTGTGCAAAATTACGAAGTCATATATTGTCAAATATCAAATATTGTGAGCTATTTCATGACTTCAACAGACAAGAAAATATGCATATGGGGTCTCGTAAAACGGTTCGATTTTTATACCCTTCACCACACTTTGGTACAGTTTATTATGTCCTTGTGCATATGTTTGTAACAGGCAAAAGGAAACGAGATAGACACATAGTTCCTTTTGAGAATATGCATAGAATCACTTTCTGTGTCGATTTACGCATGTCCGTCCGTCAGTCCGTCCGTCCATGTATTTTTGTCAACAACGTACAGGTCGCATTTATGACCCGATTTGGATGAAATTTGGCATATCCCACTTATTTGGCCCAAGGACAAACCCTATTGAAATTGGTAAACATCGTAACAGATTTATATATAGCTCCCATATATATTTTCGTCCGATTTAATGTAAATGGTGCACGAAAGTCCCTATATACCTCTCGATTTGCACGAAATTTGGCACAGCGTAATGAATTAGGTATAGAATGATGTGTGTTAAATTTACTGAAAATCGGTTCAGATTTAGATATAGCTCCCATATATATTTTCGTCCGATTTAATGTAAATGGTGCACGAAAGTTCCTATATATATATATATCTCGATTTGCACGAAATTTGGCACGGCGTAACGAATTAAGTCTAGAATGATGTGTGTTAAGTTTCCTGAAAATCGGTTAAGATTTAGATATAGCTCCTATATATATTTTTGTCCGATTTAATGTAAATGGTGCACCAAAGTCCCTATAAATCTTTCGATTTGCACGAAATTTGGCACAGCGTAATGAATTACGTGTAGAATGATGTGTGTTAAGTTTACTGAAAATCGGTTCAGATTTAGATATAGCTCCCATATATATTTTCGTCCGATTTAAGGTAAATGGTGTACCAAAGTCCCTATATATCTTTCGATTTGCACCAAATTTGGCACAGCGTAACGAATTGGGTCTATAATGATGTGTGTCAAGTTTCCGGGAAATCGGTTCAGATTTAAATATAGCTCCCATATATATTTTCGTCCGATTTAATGTAAAGGGTTTACCAAAGTCCCTATATATCCATTGATTTGCACGAAATTGGGCCACGAAATTAGGTCAAGAATGATGTGTGTTAAGTTTCCTGATAATCGGTTCAGATTTAGATATAGCTCCCATATATAATTTTGTCTGATTTAAGGTAAATGGTATGCCCTTAATATCTTTCGACTTGCACGAAATTTGGTACCGCGTAATGAATTAGGTCTAGAATGATGTGTGTTAAGTTTCCTAAAATCGGTTCAGATTTAGATATAACTTCTGTATCTGACCAAATGAAAAATTTAGTATCGGTTGCAGAATGACATGTTTATGGATTCAATTTCATTTTACTGATCCTTTAAAAATGCGACGTCCAAAGTGGTGAAGGGTATTATATAGTCGGCCCCGTCCGACTTTACTACTTTCCTTACTGGTTTTCGGTTCACTTTTTTTTAATATGAAGAGAAGACTTTCTGAAAAAGCCTTTCAATAGTTTACGAAGTCCTCTATATCTATTTTTGGTGGTGTTATTGTTTTGCAAAGTATTTTCCAGTGTTCGACCATCATTCGCCTTACCCAATTGGCATAACACTTTTTGGCAACTCCAAATACAGTTTTTTGAAGCTTCAACAGTATTTGGCTATAAAAAATCGTTGACCATATATTTTTGCTTGATGGTGTGTTAAACAAAATCAACCGTTTCAACATAACATTGTACAGGAGATGACCAAACGTTAATACATTTTGAGCGGTCAAAAAGGCGCGGGTTTGAGACGATTTGAGAGTTCACGTTCCCATAGTGCATAACGACTCCTCTTGTTCGCTTTTCTACATCGGGTGAACCAATTGTGGTGTACCCCATAGATTTGCGGAATAAGATCCAATAGAATTAGATTATTAATGAACAACTGAACTATAGTAACTCTGTGATACAAAATCGAAGTCATGGTCTGGGATGAAAAATTACTTAAGACAATGAAAGCCCTTAGGAGTATATTATGAAAAGTGGCAATAGATCAAGTTTCTGGGTTGAGACTTAAATAGGCATTCAAAGTTTAGCTCGGGCCCTTGTATTTCAAAAATTGTCTAAGGCAACGTTTTGAAGTCCTGCTTCCAAATTTGTAATTTTCTTATAGAATGTATTTTTTTAAAAACATTGATTTGAAAATAAATGTATTGGGGCACAATGTTTATGCAGAGGAGATTCTGTTGCGTAGCTATAGTTTCCATATGTCCATAGTAGAAAGTCGTAAATTCCGGCCTAATGCAATTAAAAGGAGAATCCATCGACCACCTACTTCTAAATTAATATAAGAACGTCTCCCAAAATATGGACTTTAATAAGATAATTTAATAAGATAATTATATTTTAACAACTGGCTTTTGTGTCGTTTTGAATTGATACCCATATTATTTTTAGGAATTTTGAAAGGGTAGCGCGGAATTTTGAAGGCCATATCTCGGAAGGTATTCGATAAGCAAATTAAATTTTTGTAATCAAACGCATTAATATGATAAAAATCATGTGAAAATAAAAAGTTCCAAGCGAAATTTTACAGTTCCATATCATGTACGGATTTCTGCAAGAAATACATTATACTACTGTATTCAGGGTCTCCAGGACTACCTATGGTAAGAATTTCAAAACTAGACTTGTTCCCCCTTGTGCGTCTTTATCGTTTTTATTTTCATTAATCATATACTAAAACCAGTGAGCGGAGCAGTATAGTCGGACGGGCCGACCATATAAATCCTTACACAACTTCCATGAAAATCTAACTTTGTGTGGTTGTACATTTTTCACCACCTAAATATTAACCGATCTTTACCAAAAACAATAGGGGTCTTCATTGGCCATAACCCATCCTACATGCAAAATTTCGTGAAGATTGGTCCACAACTGTGGCCTGTATCGTGTTTACAAATTATAATGGACAGACGGACGGACGGACACGCATGTCTATATTGACTCAGCTAGTCGAGATATGACGATCAGTATATTTAAAGGTGGGTCTAGGACCAATATTTCGCGGCGTTACAAACTCTTTGGGCTGCACAAAGTTATAATGCCCTGACAACATAGTTGTGTAGGGTATAAATATCGGTGATAAGATACCTGATAGGGTTCCTAAAGACAAGGAATCGATATTTTCGTCTTTCTTGTTTACTTTTCCTGAACCTTGCTCAGAAAACTGTATATGTACAAACACTAAGAAATTTCCTTATATATTGTAGATTACGGAAAACTGCCCAATTTTCGGTATTCTATGATTTACTATTAAAGTAGTTGGGGTATTCTGGGAGCTTCTGGGCACGTTTATTAATTGAATTAGAATTAGGGAATTGAAAATGTGTACCAAATTTATCATTATCTGGATACATTTTGTATAGCCCCCATATAGCGATCCGCCCTTTACTCGCTTTTTTTGAAGATTTCAGACATGTGTTTCCACCGTAAGGCGTCATTTTCGGTAGTTCAAAGCCCTAGTCTAATTTTCTAACCTGTCTATAGTTTGGTTTCTTTTTCTCCCAGTAGCAATTTATCATGACATAGCTCCAATAGAATGTCCCGATCGACGCTAAATATTTTTAATGTCCACATTCTACTGCAGGGTACTGTTGGATTCACAGCCAATTTCCAATCTGGTTAATAGAGTGAAAACACTACTTTTGACATCCCTCCTAGGCAGCAGCGTATTTATAATTATTTTCATATTTCTTTAAGATCATTAAAAGGTCTTAAATGATCTCTCATATACTTCAGATGTTCTCTTTTAAAAAAATAGTCTGCTCTCTGTAAAGACGGATCCTTCTCAGTCCAACAGGCCCTCTCAGTAGCCCTGTAATACATTTCAGATTCCAATGGTTATTCCCAAAATGTATGACAAACAATAGACCGCTGAATCTCTTTGTAGAAGAGTGTATTGGATATATATATTTTTGTTTTAACTATTTTTACCCATTTGTACCCAACATCGTAAAAAATACTGTAGGATATTTAAATATTTAACCTCACCCTAAAAATACCTAATACATAAATTAAGTTTTAACAGCCTTTGCAACCTAGAAAACACATTATTTCTTCCTCAAAGGGCTATCCTCACAAAATGTGTTTTGCTATAAATAAATAAAACTACAAATCTGTAGACATTTATATTTTTCCCAAAGCAGTTTGCATTTTTTTCTTCTCCTAAAACATCTAGGCCTCTGAGATTAACCATATGTTTAAAACTAATGCAATTGTGTGGTTAGTGGGTCATGATGAACATCGCTTTTTTTGCAATAAGAAAACATGATTTCTCCTCCTCCGTTTGTTTGAGTGAAGGAGGTGTGTCTTTTTAGTTTTTGTCGCATCTATCTTTTGGGTCAACAACATTACAAAAGAATGTACGACAAATCTAGTTCACACACACACATAGAGAGATGCAGCAGCACTCAAAGATGAGCTGCAATGTTCTGTGCTTCTGTATCTTAAAACTAATCCTTAAACGAATGTGAACTTAGATACGAGGAGGTTAGTTTAGATTTCATTCAAGGACATTTTTCAAAGTGGCAAAGTGAGAGACGAAGGATGAGAGGTAGACAGAAATTGATATGCTTGGTAGAATATTTAATTTAGAAATCATGTCAAACATTATTTTTAGATTAGAAAATAAATTACCCGTTGTGCAATAGGTAGAGTAGAGGTGTGATGGGGGTGGTATTAAAGATGCAGGGATTTAAATAGAATTTGGTTTAGATATCAAAAATGAGGACGTTGGTAAACGACTAAGGTGATTTCCGGATAAAATTGATATTTTTCATATTAAAAAATCCGTGATGCTTCATAAAAAATATATTTTAAAAATATACAATTTTAGAAGTCCCTAGGAAAAACATTATTAAAAAATTATGTTTTTAAAAAATTATTTTAAACAAATCTATGTTTCTAATAGCCATTAAAACATATTTGTTAGAAAAAAAACATTTAAAGAAAAACTAAAAAATATTAAAAAAAATCTACGTCTTCTAAAAACGTTTTTAAAAAATCTACGTTTTTTTTAATCTACGCTTATTACAGTCCCCTAAAAATATTTGTTTTTTTTAATCTACTCATTTTATAGTCCCCTAAAAAATATACATTTTAAAAAATCCACGTTCCCTATATATTTAAAAAAGTACTTCTGAAGGCAGTCCTTTGAAGAACTATTTTTAAAACATATAAATTTCTGATAGTCCTCAAAAATATTTTAAACCAGTAAGAAAAGTAGTAAAGTCGAACTGGGCCGACTATATGTACACGCTATTCGGTACGCCGTTTGTTAAAAATATAATCTATATGTGGGAGCTTTATCTAAATCTGAACCGATTTTCACGAAAATTAACACACATCTCTCTAGACTAAATTCAGTACGCTATGCCAAATTGTGTGTAAATCGAAGGATATATATAGGGACCTTGGTGCACCATTTACATAAAATCGGAAGAATATATATATGGGAGATATGTCGAAATCTAAACCCATCTTCCAGAAACTCACCATTCATCATTCTAGACTCAATTCAGTACGCTATGCCAAATTTCCTGCAAATCGAAATTTAACACACATCGTTCTAGACTTAATTCAGCACGCTATGTGAAATTTCGTGCAAATCGAAGGATACAAAAGGACTTTGGTGCACTATTTACCGAAAATCAGACGAAAATATATATGACAGCTATATCTAAATCTGAACCGATATCCACGAAATTTAACACACATCGTTTTAGACTTAATTCAGAACGCTGTGCCAAATTTCGTGCGAATCGAATGATATATAGGGACGTTGGTGCATCATTTACATAAAATCGGACGAATATGGGAGATATATCGAAATCTCGACCGATTTTCCGGAAACTCACCACTCATCATTCTAGATTCAATTTAGTAAGCTAAGCCAAATATTGTGCAAATCGAAGCATATAAAGGGACTTTGGTGCACTATGTACCCAAAATCGGTCCAAAATATATATGGGAGCTATATCCAAATCTGAGCCGATTTTACGCTATGCCAAATTTCGTGCAAATCGAAGTATATATAGAGACTTTGGTACACCAATTACCTTAAATCGGACGAAAATATATATGGGAACTATATCCGAATCTGCAACGATTTTCAGGAAACTTGACACACATCATTCTAGACCTAATTCATTACGCTGTGCCAAATTTCGTACAAATCGAAAGATATATAGGGACTTTGGTGCACCATTTACATTAAATCGGACGAAAATATATATGGGAGCTATATCCAAATCGGAACCGATTTTCACGAAACTTGGCAGACATCACTCTAGGCTTAATTCAGTAAGTTATGCGAAATTTCGTGCAAATCGAAATAAAATCGGACGAAAATATATATGGGAGCTATATCTAAATTTGAACCGATTTTTATGAAATTTGACACACACACATCGTTTTCGACTTAATTCAGTACGCTATGCCATCTTTTTTGCAAATCGAAGAATAGATAGTGACTTTGGTGCACTATTTACCTCAAATCGGACGAAACTATATATGGGAGCTATATATAAATCTGAACCGATTTTCACAAAACTTAACATACATCACTATAGATTTAATTCAGTACGCTATGCCAAATTTCGTGCAAATCGAAAGATATATAGGGACTTTGGTGCACCATTTACATTAAATCGGACAAAAATACATATGTGAGCTATATCTAAATCTGAACTGATTTTTCCCAATTTCAATGGGGTTCGTCCTTGGGCCATATAAGTGAACTGTGTGATCATAAATGCGACTTGTACTTTGTTTACAATTTAACATCGACAGACAGACGGACGGACATGAATAAATCGACTCAGAAAGTGATTCTATGCATATTCTCAAAAGGAACCATGTGTCTATCTCGTTTCCTTTTGCCTGTTACAAACATATGCACAAAGACATAATACCCTGTACCACAGTGTGGTGAAGGGTATACAAATCCACGTTTTCTATATATTTTTAAAAAAATAGTCCTTTGAAGGACTATTTTTCAAACATACAAGCTTCTGATAGCCCTCAAAAAATATATTTTAAAAAATCCAAATAAATCAGCCACTTGGAAAATGAGGACCAAATAAACGTTTCACATTTTTTCGATACATGCGATCTTAAAAATTGTTTTTTTTTTTTAATTAAGAATAGGAACTTTTAATAATTACAAAAATTCAAATACTGTTTTCGTTTTACACCCTACAGAGTGCAATCGCATGCATTAATTCAAAATGCGGATGATAATGACGATTGAATTTTGATATTCAATTTAAAAAGAGGATTTTTGCACACCTGATACCAAAATTTTGAGGATATATAGTTTTTCCAAAAACTGATATCGACAACCAAATATATATTTGAAATACATAATTTTGAAAACTTGTATCATGTGTGCAAAAATGAAAAAAATCGGCACCATTCTTAAATTTTAAATACATTTTTTTGGGATACATTTTTTTGTTAAATTTTGTTTTATATATATTTTTTTGAAATAAAATAAAAAATTACACAATTATTCAATTTTCAAATTTTACCATAATTCAATTGGTCCGGTAATGATATTGGTGTGATATGTGCCATGTACGGTTATATTTGCCGGTAAATAACTGCGGCTATTCGAATTTGGTTTTAGTGAATAAACGACCCTAGAATGCAATCAAGAAAAATATTGGAATAAAAAAAGAACGCACACAGAGAAAAAATTGGAACAAGTAGGGAAACACACACAGAGCAAAATAAACCAAATGCAATAGCCATAATACCTAGGTGGTGGGGATATTCGGAGGGCAATAATACTCTCTATGATCTATGTAATGGCTTAAGTTGGGGTGGGGTCGGGAAACTGTTGGAGGCTAGATGGCCACAAAAAGTATACACATACAAATATACGCAAATCATGTTGAAATAAGCCAACCAACATAAAATTGAACAAAAAAGAGGAGGAGGAGAATGATGATGAAAATAATAAAACAGAACCTACAAAAGAGGGTTGCTTGCCCGTTATATGGTTTATAGGGGTATATACGAGGAGGCTTACTTATTACATACATAGGTAAAGGGGTTACTTTGTGGAGGGGGAGGCTTACAAATAAGGTAGCTAGCTACTAAATACGTATAAATTATAATTTTTTTATGATGCATCATTGCATAATATAAGCATTCGTTAAAAATACAAACAAGAAATTAATAATTATGCACCCATATTTTTTTTTTTTGTAAAGAGAGGAGTAGGATATTTTAGTATGTATGCACCATTAACCAGGAAACTTGTGAAGAACGAGGAGTTTATTAAATAATTTATTTTTAATAAAAAGTCAGATAAAAATTTAATATCAAAACATACAAACTGGATCAAAGTCTTATATCTCTCAAGTCTGCGAATTGAGAAAAAACTCAAATTTAATTTATTTTATCAACCCCAAATATTCCCTGGAGTCATCATATAGAATATAATCCAGTGTATGTCGTGTATAGTCCATTATACGTATGGGGGAATTTCATTCTATGCATTTTTGAGAAAATGCATAGAATCACTTTCTGAGTCGATTTATGCACGTCCGTCTGTCCGTTCATGTATTTTTGTTAAAAAAGTACAGGTCGCATTTGTGATCCGATTTGGATGAAATTTGGCACAGTTCACTTATTTGGCCCAAGGACGAACCGTATTGAAATTGGGAAAAATCAGTTCATATTTAGATATAGCTCACATACATATTTTCGTCCGATTTTAGGTAAATAGTGCACCAAAGTCCCTATATATCCTTCGATTTGCACGAAATTTGGCACAGCGTTCTGAATTAAGCCTAGAACGACGTGTACTAAATTTCCTGAAAATCGGTTCAGATTTAGATATAGCTCCCATATATATTTTCGTACGATTTTAGGTAAATAGTACACCAAAGTCCCTATATATCCTTCGATTTCCACGAAATTTGGCATAGCATTCTGAATAAAGGCTAGAACGATGTGTGTTAAATTTCGTGAAAATCGGTTCAGATTTAGATATAGCTCCCATATATATTATCGTCCGATTTTAGGTAAATAGTCCACAAAAGTCACTATATATCCTTCGATTTGCACGAAATTTGGCACAGCGTAATGAATTAAGCCTAGAACGACGTGTGCTAAATTTCGTGAAAATCGGTTCAGATTTAGATATAGCTCCCATATATATTATCGTCCGATTTTAGGTAAATAGTCCACAAAAGTCACTATATATCCTTCGATTTGCACGAAATTTGGCACAGCGTAATGAATTAAGTCTAGAACGATGTGTGTTAAGTTTCCTGAAAATCGGTTCAGATTTAGATATAGCTCCCATATACATTTTCGTCCTATTTTAGGTAAATAGTGCACCAAAGTCCCTATATATCCTTCGATTTCCACAAAGTTTGGCATAGCATTCTGAATTAAGCCTAGAACGATGTGTGTTAAATTTCGTGAAAATCGGTCCTTCAAAAATGCGATGTCTGTTAGGATCCTATCTGTTGAATATACCCAAAGTGGTGAAGGGTATCATATAGTCGGCGCCGTCCGACTTTGCTACTTTCCTTACTGGTTTATATTAAAATAGTTATCTGATTTGTTCCGCGTTTTGGGTTGGGTTCTAAGACTTAGTTGTAATCATTATACCTGCGGAGGATATCGAGATAAAAAATTAGAACGTGAGGTTCAAGAATGAACTATATCGGCCCGCAGGTAGGTCATGATACCTACCGATTTTCGGTATTTTTAATATTTAGCGTAAAGGAAGTTATTTTGATGCACAAATTTTAGTTTCGAAATTGAGCTATATCAGTACTCAATTAGTCATAGCACCTCACATAATGATAACTTCAAATGTTTGTTAATTTCTGCACGATGTAATAAATAGTGGTCCAGCTTTAAGTATCGCCTCCGTACTCATACAAATTTTTTTCTGCAATGAAAAATTTCAATATATTGACCGATCATCATCTAAACAGACGTTCTAAGTATTTGGTCAGATCATCTTCACCATGTAAAATATGTGATGTTCTGCATACAATAATGACCTCTAGATCGATTCGGTTCATTGCACCCCATAAATATCATCACAGCATCACCGAAAATTATAAGCGTTGTCCTTGACCAAACCCGAAGCTCCATGTAAAATTTCAAGGGGATCCAAATACAGTTTTTAATCCAATAGAAAAAATACAGTTTTTGGTCCATTTCATCCCCTAAATATTAACGGATCATTACCAAAAACAATAGGGGTCTTCATTGGTCATAATCCATCCTACATGCAAAATTGACGTGACGATTTGTCCATAACTGTGGCCTGTATCGTGTTTACAAATTATAATATGGACAGACGGACGGATACACATGTCTAGATCGACTCAACTAGTCCAAGGTAGGTCTAGGACCAATATTTCGCGGTGCTACAAATTCCTGGGGCTGCACAAAGCTATATTACCCTAACAACATAGTGGTGTAGGGCATAAAAATAACGCTTCTGAGAATCCTTCCGATGTTATTGAAAAAATATATAAAATTTAAAATCTCCATTATAGTTAAAGTAGTTCACATTTTATTTCCACTGTGCCTCTATGTATATATTCAATTTTCATTACATACATATGTATATATGTATGCACATATGCAAATTGTATATTTTTACATTTACATTTGCATAAGAAACGTCGTTCTGATTTTTCACCAACAATTACTTCCTTTTAATTTCTGGGACAACAATGTGTGTCTGTCTGCCAACCAGCCAGCCAGCCAACAAGGCTTCCTTGTCCGTGTGGGGACAGTCAACAACCATTCAACACAACGGTAGTTATAAAAAAATCGGCTTCTGGCTGCAGTCGCATTTCTCTACCACATAGTCTCGGATATTTTTTCGCGTTCAGTGGCGTTCACTTTTGCCTCAAGTGCCTGCTGCTTAACGATCTGAAAGTTTTTCTGTTTGCCAGCAATCGAAAATGCAACAAATATTTACACCCCAATTCAACACTGACAACAACAGCAAAAATACTGAAACTGAATAAATAAATGAGTGAATGAATGAAAATGCCTTTTTCCAATCCTTCCTTACATTGTTGGCGTTGGTAACAACAGGAATATTGTTGGTTTTGATTCGGTGTTTTTTTTCTTTCTGATGTCATTTATTAAACTACCTATATCGGCGGTATTACACTGTCTCTCGGCTCTACTCCTCCTCCTCCTCTTGCTCCTATATTCCATTCGAAATTAATGTATACGAAACTATTTGATTTTTTTCTGTTTTTGTTGTTGCTTTTGTAACTAGTAGTGTTTGACCCAATTCGGTAGCTATTATGCAAAGTGTTGGGAGTTCCTCCCACTTTCCGCCGTGGTACTTATAACACACACATACGTACGCCGCAGGCTCTTAAATTATTATTCAAATAGTAGCCGTTATAAGTGTATCCTATTTTCGCTTATATGATGTGAAAATCTTTTTGTTTTTAACTCGCGCGCATTCTTCTGCTTCATAGAAGCTGAAGTACTCTCTGCAATGTGACAACCAGGCAAAATAAATATATATTTGCAAATTGTGTTTTTGTTGTTGTTTTTATTTATTATTCTTCCTTTAAATTTCCCATTGCGGCATAATCACGTTCGTGGGATTATGATTTCAATTCTATTGATTTGCTGAATTTTTTGCTTACGCTTTAACAAAAATCAATATAGTGAAAATTTGCCAACATTGGATAGACATTTGAAGGTAATATTTTTAGAAGCTATTTAAACTTCCTGAAACATGTTGGAAGCTGGTAGTGTTTATTTTAATATTGAAATAGTTGCAGTCAGGCAAACATTTGTATGCTTATTTTACAAAGAAATCGGAATTTTGTTCAAACATTTTTTTTGGAAATGCTATCTTGGAACTATTCCAGATATACAAACCATTTAACTAGTTTGAAACAAGGATTTTTCGATATTGCGACATTTTAAAATTTTGCGGCCTGTGTTAAATTTTTAAATGTTGGAACTTTGCAACCTTGTTTTCGAGCAAAAACTATTTCGTGTTGCCATTGTTCAGAAGGTGTTGGACTCAGTGCGAAACACAGAAGTTCTACAAAGGGTCATAACTGATGACAAAAACTGGCTAAACGACACAAAGACAAAAACGGGCTTTGCGAACCGATAAAGCAAGACACTAATATCCTGAGTTAGAGGCCTTGGGTATTTCTTTAAAATCGCACAAATAAAGCAACGTATCAATAGGTGCAAAAAAAACATTTAAAACCATTAAAAATGTGGTTATGTTCGGCCCGGCCGTCTGCAAATAGGATGTTTATACTTTTACAAAATAAATCCTAAATATTCCCCCGAAATGCCGAAAATTTAACTGGACCTTTGTATGGGGCTATGTCAAAATACATACTTATAATAGAGTTTTCCAAAAATGCGATTGAAACTCTCGAAAAACCAAAAATTGGGCTGAGCCTTTATGGGAACTATGTGAAAAAATGGACCTGTTTTGTTAATTTTCTTCAAAATCCTGGTATTACAGATTACAGCCCTTTGGGTTGGAAAAAGCACCTAAACTTTTCAAAACACCTAAAATTGGGCAGTTCAGTTATATGGCTATATATCAAAACGTGGACCGATGTACCCCAGAAGCAAGACCAAACATCCTAGGAGTAACAGCAA